GCACTTGAGCACATATGTCAGCGGAAAACCGAAAGGATTTGAACTGACATATCGAACGTGCGGCACTCTCATACAGGGCTCTGCATCACGTTGTTAAAACTGTCCAGCCCGCCCTGCGAAGACGAGTGCCAGATCTAATAGATGACAAGCGCAGCCCCGACCGGCGCCGACGACGACGACGACGGGCAGGAGCGCTTCTTTTCATCATATGTGTGAAGCACGAGCCAGGCACGGCAGATATCTGCCGGACGAGAGGTACTAGCATTGACCACCTATTGTACGGACGGCGAGGCACATACAGATGAGGTCCCATACCCCATAAGGAAGACATGGCCTGTAGCTTTAGCAGCAAAGGCCGAAAAATATGAAGGTAGCTAGATGTGGTTAGCGGGCGGCTTACATACTAAACCGGCCATGGTTTGCCGTGGCTTTTTCAGAACCGCTTCTCTGACGATTTTAGCCAGCACCGTGCACAGACTAGCGGGATAGGCGGCGGCCAACGCAGTGTATTTACAGCCCTCTGGGGCCTGGCCCGTGAGAATGGTATGCCGATTTCCAGTGCGAGAGCAGAGACCCCGGCGGCCCTTACAGAGCCGATGCAGGTTGGTAAGAGGGCCCGTCCTCCAGGCCGCGATCCTGGTCCTTTTCTGCCAGGGTGTTCCGAATTGGCACTGATCAAAATCACACACACGAGCACACTGGGAAATGATGAGGGACGAAAGAAGCTTTGCATGCCACATTAAAGAACTGGCAGGGTTCTCGAGCAGCACGGGTATGTTTAACTTACAGCATAAGCGTATGATGCGGCATGTGAAGTAAAACGAGGCGTTGCCTGTTGTCAGGCGGGCGATCTCAGATGTCGAAAGGCCGCTGATGCCCATCGGATGGGCGCGCGACCTCAGAGCCTTCCGGAGCGCACGAGACCACGTCGTGCAGGGCGTACCGAGGAAGACGGCTGCCACGGCGCGGCTGCGGAGCCAGCCGGTCACCACCCGCTCGAAGTCGCGGCGGCAGTGGTCCTCCAGCGGCGACAGCCGAAAGTCCAGGCCGAGCGCCGACAGGCCCAAGCGGCGGGCGGCAGCTGAGAAGTGGCCACTGCCGCAGAAAAGCTCCAGCACCACCCGACGCCGGCACAGCGAGCCGCGGCTGACCGCAGCCTTGAAGCGGCGCCGCAGGTGGTCGGCGCATTCGGAGCCGCCCGGCCGCGGCCGAAGACGCCCCGAGCTGGCGGCAGCGCTGGCGCCGGCAGGGCTGGCCGCGCTCAGCTGCGGCTGGCAGGCCGCCGCCTCACACGCCTGGACTGCGATGGCCCGCCCATGAGCGCCTCCAGCAGGCTGGCCGGAATGAGCCGCTGCAGCCCCGCGCCTGCGAAGCCCTTCTCGATCAGCAGCGCGAAGCTCTGCGCGACCAGGTCGCCGAATGCGTACACGTCCGGATGCACGCCCTGCAGCTCGCGCAAGAGGGCCGTCTCCTTCGCGTACCTCCGCATCGAGGATGGCACAGCCCAGCGGCCTCGCCGGTAGACCTGCTCCTGCGACCTCCGCTGGGACAGGAGGTCGTCGCTCACTCCTCCGTGCCTCATCCCGTACAGGTGGGGACGCAGATGGGAGAGACCCAGCGCCGCCGCCGCCAGCATGAACATCCTGTTCAGGTCCCCGAGGGAGAAGCTCCACAGCGGCGTGCCCGGGCCCCCCCGACAGCGGAGCGCCATGAGCACCGGCACCAAGTACAGGTCGAGGTCGAAGAGGATCGACTCGTCGAAGGCGCCCGTCTTGCCCGCCTGCCCGCGGTCTGCGGGGTGGAGGAGCAGGCCCCAGAACTGGTAAGCTGGCCCCGCTGACGCCGAGGGCTCCACAATGCTGTCCGTGGTCAGCCGCTGAGCCTCGGCAGGCCTGAGGTATGCCGAGAACGCAATCGCCAGCCACGCCGCCATGGGTGCCTGCTGCCAGGCGATCAGGACGCCCGCCAGCGCGAACATGACCGCCCTCGGGATGGGCAACCGCGTGAGGGTCGGGGCCCGCCTCCGCCACGCCTGCATCGCGCGTGAGGCGCGGGGCAAGAGCGAGCCCACCCGCCTGGGGAGCCCCGGCGTGAAGTGCGCCAGCGCCGCCACCGTCTGCGATCCGACGCTCGCCGCCGCCCCCGAGATGTAACGAGAGGTGAAGTACTCGGCGAGCAGGCGGTCCAGCTCGCGCAGGTTGCTCCAGTCCCGGCGGTGGTCGTAGCAGTACGTGATGAACGTCTGCAGGAGCTGGCGGTACAGGGCCTCCGTGTTCGGCCTCACGGCCAGCTGCTCCAAGAGCGTCAGGGCGCCCACCAGCGGCCGCCCGTGCGCCGCCGCCGCCGCCAGCTGGGCGCGCCGGCGAGTCCGGGCGGAAGGCGTAGGGGCCCTCTGCCTCGGCATGGCCTGCGCCTCGCGCGCCAGGAGCCCGAACAGAAGGCAGAGCGCCGCGACGACCGAGGCGGGTCCTCGCATGGCCAAGGTGTCGATGGCCGGTGAACCAGCCGAGCTTGCCTCTACTGAGGCCGTCCGCTGGGTTACGCTCCGAGGCGATCCAGCGGACGAACAACTTCGAGCCAGTGGCCAAGGACAACGCACACAGCTGGTTCAGGCACGACCTCAAGTGTTTTGACCGAGCCCTTCCTTTTGCACAGGCGAGGGCTAAGGGGAGGTTGTCCACGAGGGCGACCATGCGAGCCCCATGAGCGCCCAGACCTCGGAGGAGATGCCGATAGGACGTGACCAGAGCCTCCCCCTCCAAGTACAATATGTTGGCCCCCGTGGAGACCGACTGCGCCGAGACTGACTTCCAGGCATCCATGCGGGTAAGGTGCCCAGGAACCTCCTCCATGTCCCAAGAGTCGCCCACGACGTAAGAGGCATCAGCACGCGGGAGGCTGTTGTCTGCCATGAGCACCACGTGGGGGTCCCCGTGCTGGCCCTTGGAGATGAAGGGGTCCTCGTGCAGGCCCACGTGCTCCTTGTTGGGGTCCCCGTGCTGGCCCACGAGCTCCTCGTAGGGGTCCCCCTGCAGGCCCAAAGAGGTACACGTAGCTCCCGAGACACACGACGGCGCCGGACATGCTTGACCGCCCGCAGGGCTGACATGATGAGCACCGAGCTGAGAAGGGTCGATTGGAGAGTGAGGCCGAGAGGGGTCGACGTTTTCTGACTCAACGCTGGGACGCTCCAAGCCGCCCTCTCGCAGTGACCGGAGCCGAGCCTGGTGCCCGCCCTCGACCTTGAACCGCCACTTCTCCGAGCAACGGCCGACGGCGGCGCAGACGGCGCGAGGCGCGCGTCTCCGCATCACCCCAAGTCCGAAGGGCGATGCGTCGCTAGCCGTCAACGTGGGGTGCCACGCGGACGCGAGGTCGCCGGACAAGACGGGCAGGAGGTCACGGATGATGGTTAACTCCTTCGCCGCCGACGCCCAGATCCTGCCCTGCCTCTCGCCGTACGCCGCCACGAAGCCGTAGACGCTATGGAGCACGGTGAGGACCTCTCGGCGAATCATAGACGACCATGTCACATGACCCAGAACTGCTCGCATCATGTGGCCGCTGCACCAGCCACGCCTCAGAAGCCCAGTGATTGCCGAGTGCAGCCGCCAGATGTTCCGCGGCTTGATCCGGAGGTACCTCCCGTGCTTCAAGCTGAGGCCCAAGAAGTCCAGGTCCTTCGCGGCGGGCTCGATCTCATGGACAGGAAGCCCTCGGGCGCGGAAGGCGGCCACCAGCCGTGTCATAGCCTGGTCGACCGCGCCCTTCTCAGCACCGAACGCCAGGATGTTGTCGACGTAAGCCCCGACGCCGACGGAGACCGGGTCGGTGACTACAACACCAGCTTGACCGTCCATGGCTGTCATGGTCCTCTTATGGCCCTCATCAACAAGGACTGAGCGCGCAGCCGACTGGCAGAAGTGCAACGCCCACGAGAAGCCCATCGGGAGGACGGTCACCATGGGCGTCACGCGCGAGAGAGGATCGAAGTCAAGGTCGATCATGCCGAGCTCTTGCAGCACGGCGACCGAGATCGACGGCAAGGTGAACAGCGTCTCCATCCCGCGCGGCAGCCGCATGTGGTAGAAGGCGCACTCCAGGTCGCACGTGGAGAGGTACATGCCGTCCGCCGGGGCTTCGATAGCGCCGAAGGACGCTGCAGAAGGAAGCCTCGTGGCCGGCGGATCCAAAAACTTGCAGTTGGCGGCCCTCGTGTCGAAAATTATCCGGAGGGCCCCCGACTTCTTGGGCACAAAGAAGAGGCCGACGGTGTGCGGCTGACCGCTGTCGGCCGCGAAGGTGACCATCTGCCTCCGGTGCATCTCCATCAAAAACTGGCCGTAGGCAGTCGCGTCCCGAAACAGGTTCGGGTCGCAGTACGGCCCGCGTGGGCAGGCCGAACGTGCCAAGGCCTCGGCGGACTGCCGATCTCGAAGCATATGGCTCTGCCATCCCTCCAGCCAGGCCTTGTCATGGGGCTGCACAAGCCCGACGAGCTCGACGGGCGCAGCACCTTCAGCGGGCCATGCGACACGGTCGCGGACGTAGGGGGACGACGAGGCGGCGCCCGAACCGTAAAGGTTGGCGCAGGAGAGGAGCTCCCGGAGGGCCCCGTCTTGACCAGCACGCGTGTCACTGAACTCGGGCGGCGGCGCGCCCAGCTCCTTGACGCAACTGTCGATATGCATGATGGCCTGGCGCTGCCCCTCGTGCGCTGCAGATGGAGGCGAGGACCGAGAGCCATAAAGTGAATTGAGTGCATTGGTGGCCGCTCGAACGCGATCATCATGATGAATGCGAAGGCCGCGCCGACGAGCAGCGCGACGACCGCCAGGCTCCATCCCGCGCGGAGCAGCGGCCGGCACGACCGGCAGCGGGAAGACGTCGCGCTGGCGGCGTGTCCCCGGCGGCCGGGGGCCTGCGGCGAGAGCCGCACGGCAGTCCCGAGGGGAGGCTGGCCCATCTGCCCCCCCTCGGCTCGTCTCAGGCATCGGCGCCTGGGGTATTGCCGCCCCCACGGCCCCGTCGCCCACGGCCTCGGCCGCCGCGGCCACGGCCTCCGCGCCCCTCGGCGCCGCCAGAGCCAGCCGCGCCGGTCCCGGCGGCCAAGGCACGCTCCTCGCGAGCCTTGCGCCGCTCCTTGGCAATCGCCGCCTCGCGCGACTTCTCGGCGGCCAGCCAGTCGCGCAGCGCCGGGGCCATGCAGATGCCGCTGCCCGCGTCCTGGACGCCGGACAGCAGCGCAGCGTCGTTCCCGTGCTCGGACGTGGGCGCGAACCTGTCGCGGTACAGCTCCTCCTGGGTCTGCAGCGTGCGGCCGACCAGTTCCATAGAAGCTAGATTGGTCGCATGAGTCTGATCATACACGACTCCGAACTCCAACAGCCTGCAGCACAGTAGGTGCACGTCTACCCCCGGGTCCTCGTCGTCCAGGTAGGCCTCGGCCTTCCACTTGGTGTGGCGACCGAGGGGTGTGCCACCGTTCCGGCAGATGTAGTTCAGCACCCACAACAACGTTCTGGGGCCCTTGAGCGGCCAGTCATGCCAAGGTAACTCGTGCATCCTCATTACGGCCGTCCTGAAGTCGACGTAGCGGACCCCTTGGGAGTCCAAGACGATGGCCTGCATCCGCGCGTCGCCGCCAGGGGCCGCCGCCACCGCGGCGAAAGCATTCGCCAGGGCGCCTGCCCCTAGGTCAGGCCATCCGGGCGCAACGGCCGCGGCAGCGGGCGCGGCGGCCGCGGGTGCGGGGACGCCCACGGGCCCAGCGGCCAACAGAGCGCCAGCCGCGGGAGCTGCGGCCACCGGCACCAGCCCGCCTCCCGGCGCGGGCCCAGCGGGCGCTGCGGCCGGCACGAGCGCGCCCGCCGCTGCTCCAGGGGCCGGGGCTCCGACCGCAGCGGGCGCACCCAGGGCCGCCGCGAGGCCCGCCACGCCGCCAGCGGCCGGGCCGCCCGCGGCGGCAGGGGCGCCAACAGCAGCAGGCGCGGGGGCCGGCGGCGCGATGACCCGGCCCACGGTGTTCAGGGCCACGGCCGGACCCGGAGCGAGCCCGAGAGTGCCCCGGGTGGCGGTGGCCGCGGCCGCGACGGCCGCCGGCAGAGGCAGGGCGCGGAACCGGTAGACCTGATCCCCGCCCGTCGCCGCCGAGTTGCCTCCAGCGGCGCCTCCAGCCGGGATGCAGCACTCTGCCACGTCCGCGCCTCCATTCGCGATGACCTCGACGTAGCCGTGGCCGTCCGGGGTCAGGATCCCGCATCCGAACGGCGCGACGGGCTGGAAGGCCAGGATGAGGCGCTCGTGCCAGATCCTCGCCCCCCCGACCTGGTATCTGATCAAGATGAAATCTCCCTCGTCCAGGCCGAGGAGGGCGAGGGGATGGCCCGCTGCCGCGGCGGCCGCCGCCGACATGGCCTCACTGGACCTGCAGCCGCCCGCGAACCAGAGCAGCCTGGGCCCGGGCCTCCTCCTCGAACTGGTCGATCGCCGCCAGAGCCCGCGCCGGAGCAGGCGGAGCGAACCAGCGGCCCAGCAGCGCGCCTGCGGCCAGGCCCAGCACCGCGGCCAGCACGACGGCTGACAGCGGCCAGGTCCCCACCTGAGGTGGGCAGTCCTGTCTGTGAGGTTCCAGCCCGCTGCCGCACACCAGCGAGGGCTTGCAGATGCACGGAGGACACTCGGGCTTCGCAGCCCAGATCGCCAGGCTCGTGGTGGCGGCGCGGACCGCTTCGGTCGAGAGCCACTCGCTGAAGCTCATCGAGCGACCTTCCTCAATGCACTAGAGCACATATGTCAGCGGAAAACCGAAAGGATTTGAACTGACATATCGAACGTGCGGCACTCTCATACAGGGCTCTGCATCACGTTGTTAAAACTGTCCATATATATGATTTTGGCCTCCTGATTGGGGCCGTCTTGGGGCTGTCTTGGGCCGTCTTGGGCGCCTCTTGGGCCGTCTTGGGGCCCTCTTCGGCCGTTTGGGGGCCTGTTGGGAGCCCCTGGGGCCGTCTTGGGGCGGTTTGGGGGGCCTCTTGGAGCGTCTTCAACGCCGTGAAAGCCGAGAAGCCGGGTATGCTAAACATGTACCTTTTCCCATAGGAATACCATGATTTTGGCCTCCTGATGGCCTCGTGGGACGCGTCCTGGGGGCCTCTTGGGGCTTCTTGGGGGGCTGTGGGGGCCTCCAGGGAGCGTCTTGGGGCGATAGGCTAAACTTGTCGGTTCGTGGTCCCCCTCTTGGGGCCGTCTTGGGGCCCTCTTGGGCCGTCTTGGGCGCCTCTTGGGCCGTCTGGGGGCCCTCTTGGGCCGTTTTGGGGGCCTCTTGGGAGCCTCTTGGGCCGTCTTGGGGCGGTCTTGGGGGCCTCTTGGGCCGTCGTCAACGCCGTGAAAGGCGAAAAACCGTGCTGAAAATGTACGTTTTCATTTGGAACATCCATGATTTGGGCCCCTTGGGGGCCTCTTGGGACGCCTCTTGGGACGCCTCTTGGGGGCCTCCTG